CAAGAGTATGAGATGTTTAGAATGAAGGAGCACGAGAAGATCGATGAAATGTTCGACCGATTTTCCAAGATTGTTAACGACCTTCATGCGTTGAAGAAGACTTACACCGACAGGGATCTTGTACGAAAGATCCTACGGAGCTTGACATCCGAATGGCGATCTAAGGCCAATGCCATCTATGAGTCAATCGGCACGTCAAATGTCACCATCGACGGTTTAAGAGGTAATTTAAAAACTTATGAATCTACTATACTTAACCCGTCTTTGAATGACCAAAGGAAAGGCATAGCATTAAAAGCTGTCAAAGAATCAATGATGAACGATTCAAGTGACGATGATGAAGTGAAGCTGGTCATGAAGAAGTTTTGTAAACTTCTAAGGAAGAAAGAGAAGGTTGAGGATGGTCTTGTGTGCTATGGATGTGGTGAAGCCGGGCACATCAAGAACAAATGCCCGAGAAGCGAAAGGAATGCTCGTCACTTCAAAAAGCAAAAAGCATATATCTCGTGGGGTGACGACTCCGGCGACGAGTCAACCGACCAAGAAGAGGATGAAGCCGCCAACCTTTGTCTCATGGCACACGAGGACCAAACCGACGATGTACAAAGTTCGCGCGACTATTGAAAAAGTAAATGTGGCAAATAATTTGGGACGAAGGGAGTATGTTTAATTTATCACTGTCATAGGAAGTACTCAATCAATTGCTTTGTTCCTTTATTTCAAGTCTCAACTTTAATTAAAATATACTCCTTAGTACGGAGTATTTAATTACTCCCTCCGTCCCTAAATAGATTACTATTTTTTTTTCTCTCCTCTCGATAACTTTTGTTTGTTTACGCGATTTCATTAAGTATTTGATAAAATAAAATATTCTTGTCACCTATTGTTTTGTAGAACTTTTGACGTAGTTTTTTAATATGTAATTTTTATATCTTATTTATATACCAATTTGTAAATAAAATGATTTCAAAAAGTATAAAATTTTACTCCGTAACCCACGATTTGTAATCAAATTGGGGACGGAGGAATTAAAAAACATCATACGGAGTATAGTAGTACAAAAAAATAAAAAAAGAAAATAATTAAAAAAAGGAGTGAGTTCAAATGGGGCGGCCCTCCTTGGTCCCACATGCTCTCGATCACAGCGTTACTCTTCCGCCAACCAAAATTTCAACATTCTTTTGAAAATTCACCTTCTCTTTTTTGTTTCTTTTTTAAAGTGAAAGAAAATTTCCAAAGTAATATTCGTAGTACTCCGTAATTCTCCGTCACTTGACTGGACTTACAAAAAAAGGTTATATTTTTTCGAAAGACCAAAAAAAGTGGTTCATATTTCGTTATGAGTGACATAACGATCAATACTTAAAATGCTAACGATTTTACCAAGTAAAAAAATATTACTCGTTAAAAAAAGTGGTTCATATTTCACCAAAAGTGACACAAGGATCAATATTTTAAAATGCTAACGATTTTACCTAAGTAAAAATGTTACTTGTTAAGTCGCACAATTTTTACTTGTTCTATATATTGTATTTTGCTCGTACAATTTTAGCCAAAACTTGTTCTTAAGAAAATATTACTACCTCTCTTACACAACATTTTTCAAAAAGGAAAAAAAGCTGTACTCTAAAAATGTAAAATTTTGATATTATTTTCTAATCTTTTCTTACTTTATAACAAAATAAGATATGATGTGTAGGATAGATGAGTCATAATTAGTAAATAATAACAAAATATTCCATTTTTAGAACGTATCATTTTTTATTTTTGAAAAGTTTTATGAGACGGAGGAAGTAGTATAATTTTATGACATATTTTTAAATTTTTGAATATGCTAAATACAATATGTTGATTTAGAGAAAACTTGATATAAAATTACAATTCTTATGTGGTCTTTGCTCTCTACGCATTTTATACTACCTCTATTCCCTTGCATGATGCCTGTGCAGGAGGTGAGTAGAACCTTTATATGCAAATACCTTATATTTGAATGATCTCTATTTTGGTTACCCAAAAAATGAATGATCTCATTTTTTTAAAAAAACATTTTGACCTCAGCATAAGCCACCTCTAAATTGTGATAAGTTACCCTGTGTTCAACAAGAGAGTCCTCTTTGAAAATGTCCGTTGGAAACAGCCTCCCTACTTTCAAGTAGAGGCCGGGTAAGATCTGTATACAAATATCTCTGCAAGACCATACTCTTGTGGGATTCAATTGGGTTGTTGTGTAATCTGAACAAAGGAATCGAAGGAAGCTAATTTCTTGTCATACATCATTTTTTTATATAAAAAGTTTCCTAATCAAGTTGAGTGTGAAATTAAGTCAATCGAGTAAATAAATTTTTGAAATATAACTATAAATGATTACTATATCCAATAGTCGCACCTTATAAAAATTTTGAACATGTACATTTGTCAAAAAGAGTGACTCTTAATGGATCAAACAGTACACTTTAAGCCCAATATTAAGAAAACATGCCTCCACGAGTGCGTGTATGATGTTACATTGGTCAAACGGTGTATGTAATATTTTTTGAGTAATAATCCTATACTGAGTATGGCTTTAACTTATACTCCATAACAGACTTGTACACTTGCATATAGCTGAAATTATAGGAATTATTGTTTAAATGTCTATGCTTTTTTATTAGAAGGCTACATTTTTTTATATTTTCTTTACTTTTCTCACTACCGGATCGATAAAAATTATGTTTCTAGTTCACGTCTTTACAATCTTTTTTTTGTGCCTATACATTCATTTATAATCAGTGCAGAGCCCGGGTATACCTTTCTTGGGGGGGGGGGATTGTAAATTACAGGTGTCGGGCCGTTCCGCCCCATGAATTTTTTCTAAAGACTATAAAATGACTATGAACTCAGCTCATAATATCCAGATATACTTCTAAATAACAATGCATCTCATGTTAGGAAAAACCCAAATCTGCTTATCAATATAAATTAAAGCTTATTAAAGATTATACAAAAAAATACTTGGGCCGGAAGAGTGGGCTGTAGCTGGTCTGTGGGGCGTGCCGCCACAGCGCTTTGGGGCAGCCTAGAAATTTGAGGATGTTTTTCGGACATAAAATTTGAGAATTTAGTGGGTGCCTATTTTGGGAATTTGGGAAAATTTAATGTTTGGCCTGATTTTTTAAAAAATTTAAACGGTGATGTTTTAATATGGGATAATAGCATGGGTACCCCCGTGGTTTACAAAAGGAGCGTCAAAACCCCATCTACTTTCAAAAGTTATTTGTAAAACCCCTGTGGTTTTTAAATAGTGCACAAACACCCCTCTTGCCTATTTTACACATGAAATGACATTTCTGCCCTTGGTTTTTCTCTATCTTCAAATTTCACTCTTTTCTTTATATTTTTTGTCATACAAATAAATAAAATAAAATATACGCCCTCTTTCTAAAATTAAAATTTTTTATTTATTTAATTTTCAAAAATATAATTTTTTTTAAGAAAATGTTACAAAAATAAAATAAAATACACTTTTTCATTATAAGTAAAAGTAAAATAAATAAAATAAAAATTGGATGACATATACTTACTTTATCTCTAATTAAAAGTTTTAACTTATTTGTTGTTTAAAAGTAAAATAATTGTTTAAGGACTTTAAAAAATGAAGAACGGAAAGATGAAATAAAATTTGAAGTTAAAGAAAAAGAATATTTTTTTTCTTTTCATTACCTTTTTAACTATTATTACTTTTTACTTTGTACATAATATTTTATTTTTCATTTTTTGTAACATTCTCCAAAAAATCTTTTGTTTTCAAAAGTACATTATAAAAAATTCTAATTTGAGATGGGAAGCGTATATTTTATTTTATATATTTGTATAATAAAGGTAATTGAAATTGGAAAAATTCAAGATAGGGGAAAACAAAGGGCATAAATGTCATTTTTGCTTTAAAAATAGGTAAGGGGGGCATGTGTGCTCTATTTAGAAACCACAGGAACTTTACAAATAACTTTTGAAAACAGAAGGGGTTTTGATACCTTTTTTGTAAACAACAGTAGACATTTGATACATTTGTGGAAGAATAGTCAAACAGAGAAGGTTGAGAATTTTATGCCGCAAGGAGGGGGGCACTGCTTGCCAGTTGTTCCCCCCTCCTCGATGGTCGCTAGTGTTTGGTAGGGGTGAGCAAATTAACCGGACCGACCGTGAAACCGAAAACCGAAAACCGAAATAACCGGAAGTTCGGTTTCGGTTTCGGTTTCGGTTTTCATGTAAAAATTATTTCGGTTTTTTCGGTTTTTCGATCGGTTTTCGGTTTTTTGGTAACAAAAACCGAACCGACCGAATAACCGATGATTTTATTTTAATTTATTTTTTATTTTTTANTTTGTTAATGTTTTGAACATATTAATAAGAAAAGTGCAATTTTTATATGAAATGGATAGTGTATATTCAAATAAAAATTAATCTACCTTACTAAATCAATGACAATAGAAAAGTCTTAATCTAAACTAATTTAATACATATCAATCTACCTTGCCAAATTAGTTTCTTGAATTTATATTAAAAAATCAAAATAAAAGTAATTAGAATTCGGTTTTTCGGTCGGTTTTTTTGATGTATGGGCGGTTTTCGGTTTCGGTTCGGTCGGTTTTAATTTATAGTTGGTTCGGTTCGGTCGGTTTTTAACCATGTTTAAAAAAAGTCGGTTTTTTCGGTTTCAAACCGAAACTGACCGAAACCGACCGTTGCTCAGCCCTAGTGTTTGGAAATGTTTTTTGTGCCTATACATTCCTTTATAATCAGTGGTAGAGCCAGGGTATACCTTTCTTGGGGGGGGGGGGGGATTGTAAACTACAGGTGTCGGGCCGTTCTACCCCATGAATTTTTTCTAAAGACTATAAAATGACTATGAACTCAGCTCATAATGTCTAGATATACTTCTAAATAACAATACATCTCATGTTAGGAAAAACCCAAATCTGCTTATCAATATAAATTAAAGCTTATTAAAGATTAAACAAAAAATACTTGGGCCGGAAGAGTGGGCTGTAGCTGGTCATTTGTGGGGCGTGCCGCCACCTCTGCCTTTATGCAGTTTTAACCACTCATTTTCAATATAATTTAGTTTGGTCACCAAATATTCTTATCAATAGGGCCGATCCAGAGTGCGTAAAGAGGATGCTGGAGAAAGTTGACATGGAAGGTGATACAGTAAGTCCCCATTAAGAACCTTGAAACATGAACTTATTACTAAGTACAACAAATAGCATCATGCAAACACCTTGTGAAATCTTTGAAGTTCAACATCTTCACTTTTTTCGACATGAAATTTCTCTGTAGCCTCTACATCATGCTGCAAGAGGTGAGCATGCACATGTTATAAAGTTGTTGCTAGATTCTGGGGCTTCTCCTACTAAGAAAAATTCATTTGGCAAGGTTAGATCGTTACGAAAAACTAACCGCATTTTTGTTGCTTAGCTTTGCAAAGTCTAATTAACCTTGAATGAAATGTTTCAGATCCCCAGTGAGCTTGTTGAATCTGATTCTGAAGCTATCAAAGTCTTTGAAATGGCTGCAAATGCAATGGCTACCTGCTGAGTTTTTTTGTTTCTTTGTTTGCGGAATATAATAGCACGAGCACGGCTTCATCTTTATCTTCTTTTTTGAAATATTGACCAAAAGATTCTCACCACCATCTACTTCCCCAGATGCTAATGGAAGTATGCCTAGAAGGAAGGCACTAACATTATTTTAGGATGGCCTTTCCCATGGTTGAGCTTTTTAATCCAATAATTCCAGTCTCCTTCTAATTAAAGAAATCTGTGGTGTGTGTTTTTTACTGTGGCCGGTGACAAGAAGCTGGTTATTGAAGATCCAAGGCCCCAAGGTGATGACGCGAAGCGTGTCTGATTCATGAAAGAACGAGAACAGGTAGCGAACATCGCCAATGGCTTGGACATCCATGCCGAGGTTGGTTGGGCGCCGTACCGATGACAGTGTTTGCCGCATTGCCTCGAGAGGTGACAAGAATATTTTATTTTATCAAATAATCAATCGAGACGCGTAATTAAACAAAAGATTCTGTAACTTTCAAATGGTAAGGTGTGTAATTCTTTTTGAAGCAAAAAGAATAAATGTTCTCCGTATTACAATAAGAATTATTGGCGGGAAAACACGTAACAAGCAACAACATAGTGGGAGTGGATAAAGTGGGGGGGGGGTCACACGACCGATCGATGATGAGAGGTCACGTGCGCCAACAGAAACCGATAGGGGGCATGATTGCGTGTGTTGATCTCTTGTCTCACTTTAACAACAATCCACGGCGAAACAAGACTCATTATTGTGATTATCGTCATCAATAGCATCCATCCAATGCTGCGAACCCATGCATTAAAAAAAATATTGGCATTATGATCAAACTCTATCGATCCTAGTACTTTTTAATTAATGGATCTCTGAGAGAAATCATTTAATTTAACAAAGTAGAAATAAACCTTTTGGGAGTGAAATTTGAACCGGAACCACTAGGCGGAGTCGTCACACCATTTAGAACTAGATTTGGGTTGCCTGTGAAGTCGCTGTATACATGTCCACGCAAGGTTTGCACATGCATGAGATCCTTGTATGTACTAGGCTTTAAGTTCCACAAAATCTTTCTGGTTTTGATATTTAGAAATTTTAAGAAAAGTATATTTTGATGTTAAGTTTAAAGAATGTCCTTGGATGTAATTGATAAAAGTAACAGAGTATTATGGATATATTAATAGTGAAAGAATGTGATGTGATATGTATGTTAAAAATTAGTATAGATAAAAATAACTTTTTAATAAAAATGAGAAATTTTTTTGAGACATATATAAAAAGAAAGGAAAAAATTTGTGTGAGACAGATGAAGTAATTAGTTCACATATCCTCTTCTATGTTCTCATAAAATTAATTTTTGAGTCATGCTATATTAACCCCAATTTAAAACCCACATCAGACGCTATATCACTGAATTTGATTAAGTCTTCAAAGATTGACATCAAACTACAGAGTGAAATATCATAACTTTATTGGAAATCCCAAGAACTCGGTTTTAACAATATTTCTAAAAAGAAAAATTACATTGAATATTGGGGGTGACCTAAAGTCCCTATTACAATCTAAATAAATCATCATCAAAATCTATAATATTTTTCCCAACAGTATGGCTGCAGTTTCAACAATACTCAATCCCCTTCCTTGAACTGCAAATCCGTTCAGTGTTTATTAGCCGTTGTAGTCATTCATCGTTGTGCCTCTTTTAAGTTTTCCCACAAGCGCCGCATTAAGGAATCTCGCTCCTGCAAAAAATTATCCACCTCTGGCACCTTTCTATCTCCTTGGCGGTACGGTAGAAAAGTCGGCGGTGGTTGTCCATACAAGGCTTCGAACGGGGTCCTCTTTAAGCTGGAGTGAATGCTTGTGTTCAAAGCGTATTGTCGAGTGTGAGGGTTTGTCTTGTGCAAACGCCCTCAAGTACTGCTCTACCGCTCGGTTCATGACTTCCGTTTGCCCATCGGTTTGGGGGTGGAACGCCGTACTCATTGTGAAAGTTGTTCCGCTAGCTTTTAATGCCTCTCGCCAAAAGTTGATGAGGAAAACCCAATCCCGATCCGATACAATTATCTTGGGGAACCCGTGGAGTTTCACCACAATATCAATAAACAAGTGGGCCGTGCGGTGAGCGTCAAACCCCGCGGGTAATGCCCCAAATGGACAACCTTTGTCAACAACAAGAAAAAGGCCAGTCACTGAACACCAACCCAATATGAAGAGATAAGTTCGAACCGATCCACTACCACCATAATGACCGTATAACCCCGCGACGGCGGAAGGCCTACGATAAAATCCATCGATATGCATGTCTTCCCACACTTGACTTGGCGCACTGGCAGGGGATGCAACAACCTGGCAGGGGGCTGGGTGGAGTATTTTCTTGTTTAACAATCATGTATGACATTATATTGCCGCACGTAGGTCTTGATGACATCGGACCCTCATTTGTGGCCAGTAAAAACCTTGTGCAAGCCAGAGGAAAGTACGGTGGGTGCCCAGATGCCCTGCTAATGGTGTGTCGTGGTGTTCTCGAATGAGCTGTTGGCGTAAGATCGAGGATGACCCTATACAGATCCGTCGTTTGTAGTACGTACAGCATTCCCTCCACAACCGAGTAGGGTTCGGCATGCTCTTGGTGTCGCGCGACCAGATCCGATTGGGTGGCATTTTCTCGTCGGATCTCCTCCATTATTAGTTCCAGCACCAGTGAAGAGAGAGCGAGTACGTAGCTGCTGCCCTCGGCCTAGTCCCGTCGTGGGAGGGAATCTGCCACCCAGTTGGCGGCCCTCGATTTGTACTCAGTTTTGAATTGATACGGAGTGAATTATATCAAAAAAATCACAAGTTTTGTAATACCATTTTCTTAAAAACTAATAATAGCATATTATCAAAAAATAATTCCAATGCCGCTCAAGAAAACAATTGCAATATACAAAAAAAAGTAATAAGTGATGGAGTAAATTAGTTAGTTTCATTTTGTAGAATGATTTATTGTGCAATCTCACAACTTTTGTAACATTATTTTGGAGAAAAGAATTTTTACCAGATTCTCTTTTTTTCATTTTTAAATTCTTAACTTTAAATTTTAATGTCTTTTATAAAATTTATTTTATAATAATATCATATTTAAGTGTTTTTTCTAGAATGGCACTAATTATTATTTTTAAATAATAAATAAGTTCCGTTTGGTAGAATAATTTATTGTGCAATTTCATAAGTTTTGTAATTTTATTTTGGAAAAAATTACTACCATATTATTGGTTAATGAAAAGTTTCTTCAATCACGCACACGTAATTTTTTACATAGAAAGACAAATAAAGGACATCAGCTGTTAGGCATGCTCATAATATTTTTTAGAGAAGTGAGGGATAATGGATGGCGAGGTCATGATCTATGGCGATCGACCATCGATAATGAAGATCGGTGGTGGCAAACAGTCGTAAAACATGGGAGGCTAGGTTTTTAGAAGATCGAGAGACCTTAGCTCCGATACGATATTAAATAATAGAATGATGAAATTACCAGGGAATAAAGGAATGCATGACACAACATGTATATGAAGATTATAATCGAACTTGTTAGAGATAAAAGAAGGAAACAAGATTGAAGAAGGAAGCAGGATTGAAGAAGGAAACCGAATCCCTTTGGAATTAGGTTTAGTATCTTTCCTAGTTTGATTTGGTTTAGTATTAATATCTTTCCTAGTTTGTTTAATTCTTATTTTAGTAGGAATAGAAATTTCCTTATTTACTTTACCCTCTTCCTATATAAAGAGGGTTAGATCTTTGTATTCGGAATAAGTTTCACAAGAGAGTAATTCAGAAAATTTTCTCCAAAATAATTCTTTCATGGTATCAGAGCTAGTATTGAATTCTTGAGACCTCAAACACGCTTCTTCCCCTGCCGGTGGGCATACACAATTCAATGCCTACTGGCGGGATATTGTGATTTTTTTTTATTTTTTTATTGTCCTCCCTCATTCTTGAAGAAGTGGTCGGACAAGGGTTGTTCTACATAGACAAACAACTCTTTCCGCGTCTACTGTTCCCGATCGACCGGCATCGCGTCCATCGATCGTCGCCTGTTGTTGTTGAAGTACCAGAACGGTCGACCGTTGCTGAAGAACGGTCGAGTCGGTCGACCGTCCCGACGGCAGTTTCTCTTGAACACGGTTACTGTTCACGATCGCCCGGCATCGCGTCCATCGGTCGTTGCTCAGTTTCTGTAGTTTGAAGCAGTTCCCAATTTGTACGTGTAGGAATTGCACGTGGGACCTGCCAGAGAAGCTTGCGCAGATGCGCGAACCGAGGGAACGTTTCTTTCAGGTTTGAAGCAGTTCCCAATTTGTATGTGTAGGAATTGCACGTGGGACCTGCCAGAGAAGCTTGCGCAGATGCGCGAACCGAGGGAACGTTTCTTGCAGGTTTGGAGCAGATCCCAATTTGTACGTGTAGGAATTGCACGTGGGACCTGGCGGAGAAGCTTGCGCAGATGTGCGAACCGACAGAACGGTTTTTTTTTATGTCCAAGCTGGGCATGTTGAACTCCCATGCTCCAGCTTGAGGGGGGGTGTTAGAGATAAAAGAAGGAAACAAGATTGAAGAAGGAAGCAGGATTGAAGAAGGAAACAGAATCCCTTTGGAATTAGGTTTAGTATCTTTCCTAGTTTGATTTGGTTTAGTATTAATATCTTTCCTAGTTTGTTTAATTCTTATTTTAGTAGGAATAGAAATTTCCTTATTTACTTTACCCTCTTCCTATATAAAGAGGGTTAGATCTTTGTATTCGGAATAAGTTTCACAAGAGAGTAATTCAGAAAATTTCCTCCAAAATAATTCTTTCAGAACTACAAATAAGAATCAATATAGAAACCATCTAAAAATACAAAGGCTATCATAATTGATACTACCATTATTATTATTATTATTATTATTATTATTATTATTATTATTATTATTATTATTATTATTATTATTATTATTATTATTATTTCTACTACTATTACTATTATTACAGTTATTGTTGTTGTTGTTGTCTAACATATCTAGCAGTTAAGATGCATTCATACTCCGTATAAAATTTGCCTTGCAATGGGCACAAGCTTTTAAGACACAGAGATAATATACTCCATATCATATATTCCCTTTGTCCTTGAAAATTCTTTATGTTTTAACTTTTTTAATCAAACAGTGACATTCTTTGACTACAAATAAGCATAATCTAAATAAATAAATTGTATAAAAATTTGATACATCAAAACTATATCCTAAGATGAAACTAATTATATTAAATTCATATTATAATTCAATATATTT